AACCTTTCCATAAAACTGGTGACATACTCCATCCCCGCTGTTGGAAAGCAAGAAGAATTTCCCAACTTCCCGAGTGCCACTGGACAGATGCTGTTACTCTTTCTGTGGGACTTGGCAAAGCTTTCCCTGGGACTTGGCAAAGCCCCGCTACAAAATATTTTCAAAACTTTTGTGTGCAGCTGTGCCATTTGTCAAATCTTGTCTTCAAGTGGCGGAAGCAACCCTCCAGAATCCCGCTCTAATTACAAGGCACAGTGCACAGTCTTATTGGAAGGGCAGCCGCACGGCCCTCTCGGGGCTTAAGTACTCAACATGTGGTGAGTGGGGTTCTCCATTCTGGCTTATATCAGCCCCCGAAATAACAAATGCCATCCTGATTTCAACAAATGTAGCGGCTTTTACAATAAATGCATTGTTTCAGTTTTTCGTATTTGGGTGTTTCTTATGGGCACTTTTGGTCCTGTGGAAATGTAATCTTAAAATGCTTTTAAAAGTCACTAACAGTATACAAAAAATATGTCATGATTTATTTCCCTGAACTGCCATGAAAATGTAATTTGACATCTCAACTCACTATACACTCTAAATAATAATAATATTAATGCTTGGTTGTAAATTGCACACACAAAAAAATGGTTTTGTTGGAAACGACACCACAAATAAATAAATAAATAAAATTGTATATAAATATATATACAGTATATATATATATGGCATGTTGAAAAGCATGATGCTAGGGTGACCATACGTGCCATTTTCCCAGGACGCGTCCTGGCCAGGATTTCTATATTGCCTAAAATATCTAGGTTTTGGCTTTGTTTGCGTGTGCAGACCGATCGGTGTATGGCATCAAAGTACCATACAGACGGTTATGCTTTCGAAACGCTCTCGAGGTACTTTGATGTCAAACTCTGATCGGTCTGAGCCGCGCTGCTTTTAAATCGAACACACCTAATATGTACGCGTAATTGCATCGCTTTGACCGTAGATCCCACCTTCTCACACCCCATGATTGGTCCATTATGTACAATGCTTGCATGTTATTCATCAAACTACTTTTCGATCATTACCTTCAGCAAGCATGAAAACAGGAAAACAAAGCCAAAACAAATCCTGGCCAGGACACGTCCTGGGAAAATGGCACGTATGGTCACCCTAATGTTGCTAATGGCCAACAATGGGAGGACATAGGTTAGGCTAAGTGTGCTGTAGCATTTGGGACATGCTAAAGGCAATAAACATGTTACAGTAAATATAGACGTGATGACAGATGTACTATCAGCCTTAAGTGTCATTCCAGGCATTTGAATTTCCTGCTCTGTTTATATTTCCACACATCATTGTATTGGTTTGGGGCAACTCATGCGCATCCACTCAAGCCATAAATTAGCATTTACAATGGCCAAAGTGATAAATAGTTCTTGTCGTTTTGGCAGAGAGTGCTGGGTTTAGCTAGCAATGAAGCACAAAAAAAGAAGTGATTTATGGAGTGTGCTGGTTCAGCTGGAAGTTGATTGCACTTTTAGTGTATGAGGTTTTTATTCTCATACTGTCTCCATAGTGGTTGATACTCATACTCTGTGTCATAAGAGTTTATGAGAGGCTAGTCAAAAAGGTAAGTATTTAAAAAACTGTTTTTGGTAGAACATCTGCAACATATTAGACGTGCAAACTTTGAGGTCATTTCTATATAGTAGGCCTATACTCTTAAAATATGACTAAATGAGCAGATATATGCACATACAACTTACATCTTTTTGTGGAAAATAGAAATTAACATAGTGAAAAGGTTCCCTCCCCCTACGTTATAAATCCCACCCACCTCAACTTAGCACTAGCATGTAGCAAACCATGTTGACTATATATAATAGTTGAATAATTCATAGCTGAACCGTGTACGTTTCACACTCCAGACCAGTAGGTGGCGGACATGCACCTTTAACGTTGGTTTGCCAATCCGCCAAAAAACTCGAGAGAAGAAGAAGAACCATGTTGACTGCTATGACTGGCTGTGAAATTTTGCTACTTTGCAACAAAGTAAGTGGTTGGAATTTATACATTTTGAACGTGTCTTTGGAAAAAGACCCACAAAGAAACAAAATGGCGATGTTAGCATTAGCTTAGCAGGTGTTTGACTGTCAACAAAAAAGATTCCCAACAACCAAATAGGAAACAATGCTATGCTTGTGTACATTTAGTTTGACCATTAGAATTTAATTAAATACAGCATAAGTGGGCTGACAAACTAAAGGTCTTTATTATTAGCAGTAATATAAATTTTTATTTATTTATTGATATAGTCCATATAAGTATAAAACTCAGGAATAACACAGGCCAACGTTAACTCTTTAGCCACTGTTTAGCCACAATTTCACACAAAGGCTTTGTAAAAACCCATTATAATATCAAACATGGAGTTAAATCTGTAAGGGTTGTAAGGTATAAACAGGGCATTTTATGCTAATGAAGATGTTCTCCACAGTAAATACATTATCTGTGTGTATTTGAACTTTTTAAGATTCACTGTTCTGATTGCCAGACATTTTCCATGTTGTTGACCTTACAGGAACATTTAAATTTATTTAGCATGGGTGTGATTTGTTTTCCCCATTCATTACTTAGGAACGGATTACCAAACAGCTGATGTTTAATGGACTTAATCAGATAAGGAGGTCTGGACGGAATTATGAGCATTGTCGCTACACAGGTTATCAGGTTAGCTCGTAAGACTTAACACAAACAATTATTTATTGAATGAGTGGGTAATCAGCTCCTAAAATATGAGGCGCATAAAGATTGTATGAGTGTCAGTGGTGGTCACGTCAATCAAACTCTATCTGTGTTTTTAAAGGTTGTAACTTGGGCTCGACAAAATAAGAAATGTCTTCCGAAAAGGGCCACACACGTAGCAAGCGTTACTTATTGATCAAGTCATTATCTTTGGGGTCATTTGGATTTGGGCGGGAAAGTAAATTGCCTGTGTTTTCAGCTTTCTCTTCCTCAGCAGTGGTTTGAATTGAATTGGATTGGGGTTGACTTGGCCGTCCACTCCAGCCTCATGAATGATTGAGAGTGAATGAAGGAAGAAGCTCTCATAAATAAACACAAGTCTGCTGCTCTTGCTGCCTGGACCTGAGCGCGGTGTTACTGTGCAGGAAACATAAATAGACGGGGCCCACAGTCTCCCAAATTAAGCCTTTCAGACTGAGTTAATGCACTGTATATCATTACCATACGGAAGCAGACCAGCAGTGAGGCGCTGTGAGCTGGGAGACTCTTCATGTGTCGCTCACGACAGCGAGGGAAAGAGGTAACATGCACTTTGTAACCTTGGCTAACACACATTTTTTTTTTCTTTCCCCCATTTTTCTCTCTCAGGGAGTAGCGTAGATGGAGTCTGTATACTTCGAACCCCTAGCATACAAACACAGAGAACTGCAGAAAAACTATAAGGGCAACTCATTTTCTTCAACAAGCCACATAGAATCAAGGTCTGCAGCACAAACAGGGCAAAATGCAGAATTTTAATATGGTTTGGAGTTTGTTAAAATCCCTAGTCTTAAGTATTAGCAATAGTAACGATGCTTTAGCAAATCGCTGCTAATAAAATGCAATGATTTTGCATATGATACAGGCTTGTGCTTTTAAAACATAACCATACTGTGCTTTTCTGTTCTGTAGTGCTCAAAACCAGAGACTTTTATGAGTGTGCACTGCCTAAATTTGAATGCCCGGGTCCCTTGGTGTCTCACCTATAGGAGGATCTATATGTTTATTCTCGGTTGGGGTCCGGGTGTTGCCACAGAATAAATTCAGTCAGTAACAGAATGATGCCTGAGAGAAAAGACCTGCAACATAAGGATTTCGAAATAACATTTGGCCTTTGTGGACAGCTGGGGTTTAATGTATAAACATTGCGTACGCACAAAATGGGGATGGAAATGTGCGTACGCACATATCAAGATTAAAAAATAAATAAACTAGACATAAATATGTGCGCACCGTACGAACACTCTAGACCATGCGTATGCACTCTTTTACTGGAGGGAGTGAAATAAGCAAACAGAATGATTTTAAAGTCTGTTTTACATTTGACATACACATTTAGTTTAAATATGACAAATTACTAATGAAGTTAAGCACATAAATTTCATGAAATTATTATCCAGAAATTACAATATTTTAATATGAATTTAAACAGAAATATTTGCAGTGGATGTGCTGCTTTCGAACAATTTTCCTGTGGTATGCGATTTAAAGTGAAACATTAGCATATTGCCCGCCCACTTGTTGGTCTTTTCATGCTGGTCTGAATGAAAATGCAAATTAATTATTTGCCACTAGGTGCCGCTTTTAGAGCAGTAAAAATAGCGGTTTCCCCGGTAACCCTGTACACTAAGCAGCACTGCACTCACAAACGCTGCTTTATCAGGCATGATGAAATGGAAATGAGACCAATCGGACCAATCACCGCAGATTAGCATAACGCAAAGGAGGGGTTTGGAAAAATGAATCATTGAGCAAATTGTTTAGGAGTCGTTGAGCAAGTAAGGTAAAAATATATGCATATTATAAGACGATGAAGGTGTTTTTTGACCTTGCATGCATGTCAACCTGTTGTTGGGGACTCCCAAAACCCAAAATATGAACCTTTCATTACCCATAATACGGGCACTTTAAAAAAAAAATTATCTATTTTCTATAGGTGAGCTTACAGTATTTAATGTTTTGAACTCAGAAACACTAGATTCAGCACTCAGTTTTAAGCAGCATATGATTAATAAAACCTTTAACCGAAAGGGCCACTTAAAATACTGAGTTTACTAGTTTATCTGAACTACAGGAATACTATTATTAATGAAAACAAAAGAGAGACTAATCAATGCCTTTACGCTTTCAAACAAAAAGACTTGGTGACTAGTTGACACTTCACCTGAAATCTCTTCACAAACAAAAGTTCACAGTTCATTTGGCTGCTCACCTTGTTTTCTTGACTTGTATGCTGCTGCTGAGCTTTTCCAACATAAACTCTCCAGTGTCATGGTTGATGATGAGAACGCAGTCTTTCTGATACGGCCTTTTGTTGCCCTTAAACACTGTCATTGGTGGAGTGGAGCCCTTGAGAGAAATTACAGTAAGTGGTCCATAGAAAGGGTTTCATACATGAATCAGCCACAGATCTAGGGGACAATGACTCTTACTGGTATGTGTGGTAATGTGATGGTAACCTCATCTCCTTTTCCTACTTGTAATTCTCCTTCACAGGATGTATCTATGGATGCTGGTTTAAAATCATCTGTGGAAGAAAGTGAACACACAGTATGGCAATTTATGTTTACTTATAATCAGTGTTGGGGGTAACGCATTACAAGTAACGCGAGTTACGTAATCAGATTACTTTTTTCAAGTAACTAGTAAAGTAACGCATTACTTTTTAATTTACAAGAGAATATCTGAGTTACATTTTTTTCCAAATTTATTGATTGACAGCTCTCCTGTCCCCATGTTGAGAGAAATCAGAAGATGCAACTGTAGTTCTAAAATAAATATGAATATGCATTATCTCACTCACAAAAAAAAACACAGATTCAGTATTCCTCAAAATGAATAAAAATAATGCAACTCAGAATATGATGACATAAGGATGCGCTCGTTGATCAAACAGTCCATTGGCTGGTTTGAACAGGTCTGATGACAGTAGAACCTCTGTTCACAGGTGTCGCACACAGACAGTAGCCTAATGATAACCCCTTTCGTGCTCCCAATATTGTGACAAACACCATATTTAAAAGATAGAATTTGAAGGAAACTGTTTTGTTATTGACGTGGTGAGTCAGACAGTTATTTACACTGCAAAAAAAAAAAGAAAAAAGAAAGGCCTATGTCTTTCCATTAAAATATACACTGAAAAAAATGTGGAGTAGGATTTACTTGAAAAAAGCTTGGAAACAATTTTCACTCAGAAAAGGCTAGTTAATATACAAAAATTTGACAAGTAAAAGCCTAAACATAATTATTAGTAGCTTTAAATAGAAATGTTTAAGTTAAGTTTACTTGGGAATTCCCAGTAAATTTTATTGACTCTTTGTTTGTAAATTTTACTTAAGTATTACATATCACTGTAAAAATGTGTGCTGTTAAATAACAATAATTTACTGCATTAAAAAAAAAAAAACAATAAGATTCCCTTAATTTTTCTTTCTTTTGCAAGTTTGCGCACATATTTTAAAGTTCAAAAAAATTCAATACTTAAGTAAAACTTAAATATTGAATTAATTCAAATCTGTAAGCAAGTAGACAGACTGTTATCCTTTTAAAATAATATGCCAACTCAATTTAATTATTACCCAAATGAACACAGAGACCTCAAAACTTGGTACACCATACACAATGACGGTAACAATCAGTGAATAGTGTTTGAGTATGAATGGGTCATTTTGAGTAGAAAATGAACTC